TCCAACCTCAACCATTCTGTGATTCTGTGCAGATGGAAAATGTATTTGCAGAGTCCAGTGCTATTTTACCTGATATACCTCAGGACAGATGATGCTGGAAATAGACATTAGAAGAAAGTGCTCTGAATGGTCTAAGGGTCTGTTTTGTTGCTGGCCATGCCAGATAAAATGAGTTTGTGGAAATTCAGTGCAACTGGAGTCCAATGAGGTTCTGATAAAAACAGAAAGAATTTCACTGAAATCCATTTAGCAACATGTATTTGAATCAAAGGATGTTTGACCCCTTACTACATTTGCATCTCCTCTGGCACAGGCTTCTGCAGCCACTATGCAGGAATTGGTGGCACCTGAGCAGCAGAGCCCAACAAGTAGCCAGCAGACTTTTGGGAGCTGGGAGTAGACAGGATACTTTTTGCTCTAGCTATGAAATAATGCTACAACTGGCAGTCAGGGAAGCCTGCTGTCATTGCACTGCCTGGACAAGGAGAATTTGGAGTAGGAAATGATAGTAGTTTTCTGCACACTTTGCACTGTTGTGATGTTTGAAAATGAGCAGAGGTGGTCACATGTTTTCAACTATATAAATTGAAGCCTTAACCTTGTACTGAAAATTTGGCTGTATTTTCTATTCTTCACTTACATCCTCACTAATCTCATGTGCTGATCCTCTTTTTCTTTAGGAAGAAGAATTGAAACAGGTAGAAAGTTACTGACTTATTGGCGGCATCACTAACTCCTAAATGTGATTGTGTCCCTGTGGTTTATTTTACTTTTTTTGCTTGAAATGTGTGCGTGTTCTTTTGACCAAAATTAATATTTTGCACTTCTTTCACACATTATTTTCAAGTATCTTGGAGCAACTTCCACAATTAAACACCTTAGCCCTCTTGAAAGTGCATCAATGGCTACAAGGAGTCTTGATCTTTTTCTCACTCCCCTAAACAAGGAAACATAAGATACGAAAACCAGCACCCAAATGTAGTGAAATCAACCTAGAATGTGAATTAAAGAGCACTTCTACCATAGATAACATTTTGAAAGTGTAATGAGAATTTTGGAACTTCAAGAAAAATATAACTGAGTTTAAATTAGACCAGGACAATGAGTTTGAAATCACACTTTATCTGGAAGAAGTCAGGGCATTGTGTGCACATAGAATCATCTTTTAAAGTTGGCACTGATACTGTGAGTTTTCAGGAAAATAATGTAATTTCTAAATGGCTTCTGCAACCTAGATCAAAAAGGGCAAGTATTTATATTACTAATAGTAAATTTTAGAAGATTTAATTGTTTTGGAGCTTTTTAGTATTGAAATGGATCTTGGCAAGGTACTAGGCTAAAAAAAAGCACTTTTCAGACAGCAGTCTGAGTCCCATAAAAAATGTTTCATTTTAACAAAACACACTTCTTACTTCCATCAGCATAAGTACAGTCACAAGTCTGATGTGTTCTGTCCATGGCAGAGCATGGGGAGTTGGTAGGTAATGCTCACATTCAGAAAACTAACATTTTGGCTAATTTTTGTAGAGCATCAATCTGTTGCACCAAAAAATATATCTGACCAAACATCACCTCCATGTAAGGCCCATCCTTTTGATTCTGCATAACAGTATTAAAAGATCTTCTATTCACAAAAGAGAAGTTTCCAACATGACAAGAGTTTTGCTACCATATAAGATGTTCACTGGTCAGTGTAAGTGAAAGCAAATTTTCAGGCTATTATGAGATATGATTTCTTTTTTCTTCCAAGAGTAATAGCCTCACTGATACCAGGTGATGATGCTAAGGAATTACTCTCATAATTTCTATAAAATGATCCCCATTACACTGTGCCATTTCATGATCTGAGAGAAACAAGATTAAATTAATTTCTGGAGGAATTCAATTGGAATGATCAGCCTGGCAATTCATCTAATGCTTATGAACTTTCTATTTCTCTACTGTCCTTCCTTGAGAGAGGGTAATGAGTTCTTCACATCGGTGTAATTTGATGAGGCTGTGAGATGGGCTTTCCCCATATGTCATCCCAGTTCAGTTCCGGCAGAGGGAGCAATGGGCTAAAGCGCCTGTAAAGCCAGTTTTCATTGCAAGCATTTTATCCTAAGCATGCATGACACTTGATAGTGGGAAATCTTTCCCTGTCTGGCAAGGGTTAACTTAAAATCCTTAGCACATTGACTAGAGATGGTGAATTAAATTAAATACATAGAAGTACAAGAACGTGGATAGCTGCAACCAAGTACCACAAAAAAGCCGAAGCTATCCACATATCCATATCCATGGTGGCTGTGGTAGCTCCCCTTTCAGCATGCCTTAATCCTCAGTTGGTGGGGGGACAAGGTTTGGGAGCAATTCAGTGCTCGATTTCTCTGCTGAGATTACCAAGAAGTCACTACTGACTATCTTAGCAGGTTTCAGGCCATTAGCTCTAGCTTGTGAAAACCGCATTTCTCCTGACAGCCACTAAGCAGGAATCCCATCCTGATAGCACTGTGTTCCCCCAAACTTGGGCTGAGGTAGATCTGGGTGAAGAAAATATAATTAAAGTGTTCACCTCTCTGAAATCAGGCATTCCCTGATATCCTCCTCTTTCAAATGGCTGTTCATCAGTTCTGTCTGTTACTGCCCAAATAGTATAAACATAGAGGAGGTTTTTTACTGGACAGGGGACTTCAAATGCTTCATCTCCCTGTGCTTCCCAAACAGTTTGTTCCAACACTGAAAGCTACAGATAGGAGAGCACTGTTTATCGTAAACACAAGATCTCAGTCATAGCTGCAGACACAAGGGTAAGCACTGGTGTGCAGCAGCTTTTACATTTCTCTTGTGGGAAAATTCCAGTGAAGAAGTACTGGCAGGCATCTGTTATTTTTAGTAAATAAAATGCCTATTCTGAGGTTCATTCCTTAAATGTGACTTGGCTATAGGAAGCAAATTTTGTCCATTTTTCTCTCAGCTTCTCTGAAGTTCCTACTGTTGTTGGTGTTCCCCAGAACTGAGATCAGAGGCAGAGGGGAGCTGAAGAAAAAGGACAAGTGAAAGAGGGAGCTGGGAACGAGAAATTCTTTCACAAATTTGTTTTACAGAGGATGAAACATGCCCAGTCAGGGAACGAAAGGACATAACTGTAGAGTCCCAGTCCCCTGCCTGATGTTCAGGGGGTGCAGCCTCCAAGGACCTTGGAACATCTCCAGATTGCTCTGTGCCCTGCCTCTGGAGGACCAGAGATCAGCATTTCCACTGCCATGGGTACAGACGCTTCCAGAAACAGGAGAGCATCTGGCCTTTATATATTCAACTTCCCTTTCATCCATCATTTAAATGTTCTAAAACCAATCATTAAAGAAATTATAAGTATTAAATCCTCCATTCTCCCATCAGTAATGTGCTTATTCCTCATAAACCTAATTTGCCCTCGATGTCTCTATGGTGATAATGTCTCTTAGAAAGGGGTGATAGGAGAAAAGAACAAATAGCTTAGTATTCTGATATATTATCTATGGTCCATGGCAAGAATTTATAAAAATCTCAAGGGCAATGCTGCACTCCTCCTGCAATGGGCCCCTATTGTCTTTTTTAGGATGTATTTGCCAAACCATATCAGGGCTGCTGTGGCAGCCACTACAGGAGTCAAAAAAAATGCAATGAGGAGAGTTAAGAAATCCTCCTGAATTCTCAAAATAAAGCCGGGGTGAGGGAAACACCAGCCCTCAGGTTACTTCTTACTGTAAGCAGATAGGCACGTGTGTTGTAGTTCCCCTTTAGCAACACTCAAGCCACCAAGCCATCCTTGGTATCTACCAAACACAAAAGCTGTGTGCAGTTTGGTGTGGGCTCCAGCATTTGGTTTTTCTTACATGGATACACGATCCTGGGGGCTTTGCAAGAGTGGAGGAAAAAGGGCACTGTGTCTCTTGGTGTCACTCACCCAGCTGCATTTCTAAAAATGACTATTTTGTAAAGTCTGCTTGAATTTCAGCTAAGTGATACTAACTGCGAGGTGCTAACAGCATGATATTTTATATGACTGGTGTTAAAACATTTTCACTTCCAGCGGCTGACCCCATAGCAGGAATTTATATTGCCCTATCCCCACAGTGTTTTGGGAGTGCCTGAGTATATCCTGTAGAGAGAACAATTTAACAGTGTATGATTTAATAGTGGCTTAAAATAGTTCTCTAGCTCCGAATAAAAAGCATAAAGCTATATTACTTATTGCAAGTGTCAGACTTTATGTGACTGAGAGGTTGCACATACCGTGAACTTCTGGAGGGAGGCGGAGGGCAGGGCTGTGGTCGGCTCTCACGGCTGCGCCCTGATGAAAGGGGCTGTTTCAGTCCTGTGCCCAGGCTGAAAGTCACGTCAGTGCCAGCATCTTTCCCCTTCTCACAGCCTGAATGGGCTATGTTTTATCAAACATGCGTGTGAACTGAGGGAGTGAGAGAGGGAAGAGGGCAGAGAGAAGGTCTATACTTTGGTGCTTGTTAACTTGAAATTTTTTTTCAGTTAGCTGCCTGACATTTTCTCATGCTTAAAGGAAGTCAGATATTGACTCATATTTTCCTACTTACTGTTTTTCTACACAGAAGGCTTGCTGTCCACTAACAACTGACTTCAGTATATTTATTTTCGCAAAATTAATGTTACCCAACTGATCTACAAATAGCATGATGCCTTTAAGATGAAGGATGGGTGACAAAGACAGAAGGCAAAGGCTCTTGCAAAGACCTGTTTAACCTCTTATGATTGGTTTGCAGACCCAAGGGACAGGCTCCCCGCGTTCCTCGCCCAGCCACACTATCAGTCGACCAATTCCAATGCCCATCAGGTCTGCCTCTGCCTGCTCCACCCCAACCCACGCACCTCAGGACTCTCTGACTGGGGTGGGAGGAGATGTGCAGGAAGCCTTTGCTCAAAGTAAGTCTCATTAGTAGATTGTCTGAGGTACTTAGAGGCTGTTTGATGAATTGTTACTTCTTGTGGTTAATGACTACATGAACTTGAGTTTCTGAGTTGCATGCAGTGAAACTAAACAAAAAAAAAACCCAACCCTGCAGCAATGGTGTTTTGCCTTTGAAAATCAATTTTGTCAGCCATCAGACTTCACTCTCAAAGCAAGCAGGTAAGCAGAAACTGGACAATGATGCCAACCAATGGATTTTGCAGTAAGAGGGAGTTTTGATGCAAGATGGTCAAACCACTCTGTTAACCAGAAGAATTGGTACTGACTTCAGCATGCCTTTGTCAGTGTGTTTGGTTTTAAATAAAGACTGGGAATAGGTGATACAATCATAGAATTAGTTCAAGGGGAAATGGCTCTCTATGTCACCACGTCCTCCTGCTCCAAGAAAGCCAGCTTCAAAGTGAGATCATATCATTCACAACCAGTTGAGTTCTGGCATGCGTTTTTCACAGCCTCTGTTCCAGTGTTTGACCATGCTTGCTTTGTGAGTTTTTTGTCCTTGTGTCCAGTTGGAATGTCCCTTGGTGCACCTTGTGACTGTTGTCCCTTGTGCTTTTCCTTTGGACCTCTGGGAAGGGGTCTGGCTACACTAGACAGGAATAGAGCCTGGAAGTCTAGGTGAACCCTTCCTTTGCATTTCCAGAAAACTGCCATAGATTGCACCATGTTTCTCATTCCTTTTTCCACTTTCTTCTCAAGCAAAAATAAACTGTTTTGAATTTCTAAGGCCACAGGTTAAGTGGTTATGTTGAGTACTAAAGAAAGGAAATAGCCTGTGTGATCTGAATGAAGAAATACTCTTTCTTTTTCAAATCTGCTCTCTTCTAAAATATTTACATCTCTGTAATTCTTTTATTTGAATAAATGTCTGCCCCGTATCACTAGTATAAATCAAATGTAAGGGCAGCTCTGGACTTCCTCTGCTACAGTGGAAGTGTATTTCATGCACCTTTCCCCTTGACTTTCATGGCAATTGTGTCTGTCTCTCTTACAACAAGGTTGAATCTATAATGCAATCAAGAATTTTCTACCAAAGTGCTAGTCAATTCATGTATTGAACGTGTTTTACCAAGGTACAATTCCTAGTCCAAACATACCAGATTGCTGGATATCTCATTTTCTGTGGCAAAAGAAACAGGCAAAATATATTTTTCTTCTTTGTGCTGTGAAAAAAATTGAGACAGTCAAAAATATGAACCACTAAGCCCTGTGCTGTTATAGGACAGTTTCTTCCAGAGCTAAGAGTAAGAGAAATAATGTAATGGCTACTATAAAATATCCATAAATAATACTAAGGCTGCCTCAGGCAAATGCTTTTTAAATACATAAATATGTTTTGTCCAAGAGAAAAAGCAACATAAAAAGGTAAGCAATCACATTTAAAAACTGCTTTATCTGATTAATATCTACTTTTATCTCATTATTTACCATATTCAGTAGATGGGAAGGTCAAACCCAAAGAACTTGAAGCCAACTGTTCTGTCACATCTTGACATACGACTTCGTGGGGGGGGGTAGGCTGAGAGATTGTGGCTCCATTCTGCACTGCACCAACAAAGATCTGCCTATTTATAGCTAATGCAGACAAGCCATCATTAAAACACTGTTTGTCTTGTGTTTTTTTTCCTTTTTCATAGTGTTTGCAATAGTTCAGAGATACAAAATTGAGAAGCCTTTAGAGATGGAGTGGCAGTCTGAGTGTTTGTCAGTGTATAAGAGGGAGATTAACTATTTCAGTTTACATTCCAGTAACCATTTGCTAATAGATATATTTTTTTAAAAAACGCACCTCTTTAGGACTTGGAGAATTTTAAAAAATGTGTTGTTTTACATTCAGCCAGTTTTAAAGAATCTACAGTAGTCAAATACTGCCAATTGCTGTGAATAATTCAGTCTGGAAAATTGGAGATTCTGTGGGATATATTGGTTATTTAGCTACAATAGGAGCTATGTTTGGGATCTGGGAGAGTTAAGCACATGGTACCCATAGCCTGCTCCTAGGGAAGGAGTACTTCATGCAGCTCACAAAAATCTTTCATGATTGATGGTTAAGGGAATATTGCCAGGTTCAGCAAACAGCAGGGAAGCACTTCTAGATCCATTATTAGAAAGAGTTTAAAAGCAGCCTGGGGCTGTTTAGAGAGGCAATCGTGCTTCCTTTATTAAAAAAAAAAAAAGAGAGAGAGAGAAAGTAAATTATGGAATATACAAGAAAGTCCTTGAGCTACAGGGAAGGCTGAGGGGGAGAGGAGAAGAAAAATCAATATCAGTCTTGATGAAGTCAAGTATGTTTCTTCAACGTTTGCCATAATTATCTGGCAAATACCTGGTAATAATGGTGTCATTAAACAGAGCTGTGGGAACTTAGAGAAAACACTTCATTTCTTCCCTCCTCCCCCACAGACATTTTAAATGAGTTCATGCTGGATTTAATCTTCCAGACCTGGTCTGCTGGTGTCACCACGCAAATGCAAGCTTGATGGCAATGAATAATCTCCACATATCTGTCATTGTGATTAAATGAAGCATGAGAGTAGGCTTCTGCTCTGGCATACAGCATAAGTAAATGAGGCCATTCTGCAGAGAATTCTTCTGCACGTGCCCCTCGTAAGGACTTTGATACTCTGAATTATCACAATAGCAGCTTTCAGCAGGGTTAAAACTGCTTTCAACGGGAAAACATATGTGAAGAATATTAACACTGTGTTTTGTCTGTCTCTTGCTTCAGGTGCAAGACGAAACTTAAGAAATGATTTGCTGGTGGCAGCAGATTCGATCACCAACACCATGTCCTCTTTGGTGAAAGAACTAAATTCTGGTGAGTAAGGCTAACAAGGGTGGACAGTCACCACATTGACATTTCACATATATTTGAAAGAATGGTAGGTAGGAAAATATAAACCAACAAAAAAATCAGTGTAATGTATCTTCAAAGCTTTTTATGCTTTTAGCAAAAAAACCCCTAAATAACAACTTCAGGAATGCAGTGGTTCTGAAAGCCATGGACAGAGAGGTGCTGCTCAAAGTGAAAACTTTGAGAAGCTTGTTTGCAATTCCATGTGGACTGGGATTTCACTCTTTAAAAATTTCATTCAGTATAGAACATACAGGACCTGTTGTAAAATACAACCTGTAGCATTCTCATAAAAGTATCCTACTTAATAACCCAGATAAGCAAAAGCTACACAATTTGTCCCACCACAAGAAGAAAACTATTAGCTCTGCCGAAATGTGTAGAATAATTACTGTTATTCACTATGAGGAGGTGGCATTCTAAGTTGGAAAGGCAAAGAAAGGCTTAGAGAAATAGGCACAAATAACTTGTGAACGTTAAATAGAACCGTGTGTCACCTTTTGCTTCACAGAAGTGGGCAGTGAGACAGAAAGTAATGTGGATTCTGAATTTGGGCGGACTCATTTTGATGACCTTGTTCCATCCCCAACATCTGAGAAGGCTTTCCTCGCGCAGATCCATGCCCGGAAGCCCGGGTACATCCACAGCGCTGCTGCCACTGGCTCCATCCGCAGTGACATGTGCGTACCTGCTCGATTCAACTTCTTAATCTCATTCTTTTTCTGTTGAAAACAATATGCAGCATTTAATGTTTTCTCTCCCTCTCAGCTATTTGATTACCAAAAAAAAATGCCTAAATCCAAGAGAGGACAGCTTCACAGTTAGATAGAAGTGAGCTCTATAATCAGTAAAGGCCAGAACTTAGGATGCTCTCAGGAGTGAGCAGAGGGCACATCCATTCTGGTACACTTGGGCAGCATGGAGGCTGTGGGACAGCTGTGCTCCTTGATATGCCTGGCAGTCCTATTCCCTGCTTATCCAGATGGAGGGGCCTGTTGGAGAGAAGTTTTTAAATGGAAAAGACAGTGCCTTTTATTGACCAACTCAATTGATCGACAAACTAATTTATTTTTAGAATCTGAATCTTCTTATCAAAGACAACAAGCATCTTTCCACTTATTTTTAGTTCAGCCTCTTTCTGTCAAGTTATTTTGGACTTTTGTTACTCATTTCCATAGGGCTGTAGCCCCAAAATGCCTTCAGCAGAATATGCCCTTTGGTCTACTTCATTAATTCCAGACCGCTGGAGTGATCACCTTCCTGTGTGATCTCATTTAGGTGTTCCTGCTCCAGCGGGGGATTGGACTAGATGATCTTTTGAGGTCCCTTCCAATCCCTGACATTCTGTGATTCATTCTGTGATTCTGTGGAGAGGGGAAAAAGCAGAAGTGTTTTCCACTGCCCGAAAAATACTAATCAATGGAGCATGTGCTTCGACTAGAAGTATCCTGCCCTCCTCATAACTTAAATGGAAGTTTCATTGACTCTGAATGTCATTCATCTCAAGAGACTATTTATTAATAATTGTATTTAGGGTTACAGAAGATGGAGACCCCTACGTCAGAGCAGATGATGAAAATTATGAGAATGACTCTGTCCGCCAGCTGGAGAATGAACTGAAAATGGAGGAGTACCTGAAGCAGAAGCTGCAGGATGAGGCATACCAGGTGGGAGAAGGACACGAGCTGCCCATCCATCTCCATAAGTGAGAAAAAATAATATGCCATAACTGCCCAGTGCCCTTCTCAACCTGTCCTGGGCCCTGGAGTGTGATCTCTTCTCAGTTACTAGAGCAGCCACATTTCAAAAACTGCCATCGTTCTCTTCCACAGACATACCTGCATCTAGCCTTTGTGTATACTGGGAAAGACCACACTGTCTGAGGCACACAGCAGTAGTCCTTAAGTTTACCAGGACATCAGATGGGACAGAATTGCCTCTGAGCTTGTTCTCTGCTGGTGCCTACCAAGTCGCTCAGACCTCATTTGCCCATACCATAGAGGCTGGTTGGAGGTATTAAGCTGAGTTCTTCCTATATTTAGAGTATTTTTTTCTCCAGCAGCAAAAAACATTCATAGTGGTTTCTACACTGTGAACTAAAGATCAAGTGCAGTCTGTGTGTTATTGTCGTTGTCAGAATCTGGAAGGAGAGGAAAGGGTCTGAAATGAATTGTATTCCAGAGGACCAAGTATTCAACAAGCATCTAGTGTGGAAAAGCCTGGGGACTTGTCATTAAACATCCCCTGAGGAAGATTTCAAAGGGCATTTGTTTAAGAGTCTGAGTAAAGCAGATGTGCCAGGGGGAGCTGGAATTCTGCAGATATCCTGTCCTGTCTGTGTAATGGTTTCCATTTCTACCTGGTGTAATGGACTATCACCAGTTTTTAAGTTATTCTGACTTGGATCATCCTAACACAACATTCATTACTTTTTATAATGTTGGTAGTAATGTCAGTAGGAGGGCACACCCAGTTCCGTTATTTGGGAGCAGAGCTGAAGCAAGCAAAAATAACTATTACTATATGGTGATCAATTAAAATTTGGAACTCACCACTACAGAATATAACAGAGACCAAAACTATAAATGGGCTAAAAAAAAGGATTAAGCAGGTATTGAAAGATCAGGTGTATGCAAATGAGGTTCAAAAGCACCTTCTGGGCAGGAATTCTTTAAACTGCTGCTTGCCGGGAGCTAACAAAATCTAGCCTTTGTTTCTGGTAATTTTTCTCTAGTGTCCAATGCCAGTCACTTTGGAGACATGGACTGATGGGCTCATGATCTAATGAAGAATGGTTGCTCTTTTGGTCTTCTTTTCTGTAAAGCTGCTAGGATAAGCTAGTCTTATAAAAGTTCATTGACTCATAACAAAATTACAGGTAGTTTTGGCGTTGATGTGAGCATCTTTTTGTTGTTGTTTACCTAGGTCTGCTACATGCCCATGGTAGCCTTGCAAAAGTAACTTAAATGTAAAGATCTTTAAGGACATAATGACAAGAGCAGAATTGCTGTGGACTATCTAATAAGGCAACAGTTGGTGACAAGGGGGTTTTTTGTCACAAATTTTTATCCAAGATAGGAAATGGCAAAAATGACAGCCTTGAAACTTCTGAACAGGATGAGCAGCTGCTGTTGATATAATGGAAAGTAATTGTCAGTTATGAAGAAGGAGTACCTCAATAGTGACAGCTGTCAAGCATCAAATAATACATGTTATTATTGCTGGTAAAAATTCCATTTTCTCTAGAAAGAATGATAGACCAATTTGACTGTACTTTGACTACAGTATAGAAGTGAAATATATGGCAACGATGTTATATGGGTTTCGCAAGTTACAACAGGATTTTGTACATGCACATAATTGAGTATGCATGTGCACTGCAAAATAAGGGCATTCGTTGTGTAGTAGAAGTATACATGTGTATACATGTGTATACATGTCACTCAATGAAACTGGGTATTGCTCTTGCTTCAATCAAGATAGAGCTTTTCTACTGTCTTCCAACAACATTCTCAGAAGACAGGGAGGAAATCTCCCTACTGATATGAGAATAAAACTCCTTTTGAATTTAGGTCAGCCAAGACTACACCCAGGTGAACTTTGTTCCCCATTGTTTTACATTATTTGTTTCCACTGGGGACACACACACACACAAAAAATACCAACACACCAAAGAAAAAGATAAAGGTGCTTTTCCCAAAAGTGTATTCACTGAGGGAACAGAAAGTCCTATCAGACAATCATTTGACAGTGGTGACTTGAAACTACTTTTAGTTGATAAGCACAAACACAAAGCGTGCAACGTGTGTTAAGTCCTTCCCAGTATGGCTGATGCCCTTTCGATTAGGCAGCAGGTTTAAAGTAAGCAAGAATAGGTATTCAATTAGTATGGACCACTAGGATGATTAGGAGATGGTTGGATAAGTGTCATGTATTGATTCTGAGATATGTGCTTTTACTTTGTCTAATTTTCTGCATTCTGCACTTTATTTGTGGTATTTTGCTATTCTATTCCTTTTTCTAGTAATATCACTGAGTTGTCTCTAAAGACACAACTTTCTTCCTAAACAAAGGAAAATTGGGAAATTTCTGTTTAGGGTATCCTGTTGAACAGTGGCCAAGTCAGCTATTTTCATTTTGCATCCAACCATTGGAATTTATTACAGACTAATTTACTATTTGTACTCACATGTATACTGCATTCATCTGGATAGCCAAAAAATGCTGGTGGCTGTAGCAATTGTGAGCTGAAAAAACCTGCGAGGAGGAACTCCTACTAAGGTTACAGAGTGGTAACCTCAGTAATTATATGGTAACCATTTTTATGTTATTAAATGTCTCACTTTGTGTAAAAGCAGCTCATTTAGGAAAACATGTAGATGTAGTGTAGCATGGAAGATGGATGCTTAAAACCCACTCTTGTTATTTCGTGTCACCTTGTCTCCAAGCAAGATTTGCAAGCTAAACTGTAAATTAGTTTTAAAGTATGAGCAGAAAACCCAAGATACACAAGGAAATCTAGGACAGGGAACCTCAAAAGAAGCTTCTTTCTCTCTCTGTTTTTTGAAGCATGTTGTAAATAACAAGTATCTGTACCAGAAAAAAAAAAACAAAAAAACAAAAACAAAACAAAACAAAACAAAACAAAAAAAAACAAAACAAAACAAACCACACACATTTAGTACACAAGTGTAAATGCTAACAGTGCTTATCCTCCTACATCTACTACCAGTTGTGTTCTTGTTACAGTCTTTTGCTGGATGTGTTGTGTAAGACACTTTTCATTGGGTTTATTTTCTGGATGTGTAATTGCTCCCTTTACTTCTAGGCTTTGTGCATGGCTTTCTTCAGAATAATACACTGCCTGGCTGCTCACTGGCTCAATTTGTCATCTTCTTGTTTTCTATCCTTTGTTACCTACAGGTCAGTTTGCAAAGTTGAGTGCAATATCCTTCTCTCTCTCCTCTCAAGTAAGTATCGTTATAATTTAGAAGACTGTAACGAATCCTCCTAATGGATATTTCAGTTGCAATGCACCTTGTGCTGTCTGAGTGTATGTGGTGATGCTGTTTCTTTCTTCTTCTAACCTGTGTTAGGATGCTTAGGAGTGTCTCTAAATAATTTCTAATAATCTGTTTGAAATACAGTCCTAGTTCAGAGAATTCCTGTTAAGCCACCACACTTTTTATCTTCTTCCTTCCTTTGTTGACCATAAGAGTGAGAATGTGGGCTTTTCATCCCTGGGGATGATGACAAATATATTGGCCAGTAGAGAGAAACCTTATCCAGAAGATAAGGAATCAGATTACATTTCAGGAGACCTGAGTTCAATTCCTTACAATACTTTAGTCTTCCTAGGATAACTGAAATAAATCATCTGATTTATTTCATCATATGATATCTGGTGAGACCAGAACATCTACTCTAGTGTGTGAAACAAGAGTTAGGCAAACATTAAAGAAAGCAATCCACCAGCTGCTTAACCCTAGAGGTGTCCTCAGATGTGTGTGGAAGTTTAAAATGCCCCAATCCAAAGTATAAGGTACTAGCTAGAGTCTGTCAATTCAGTGATAAGGCAAGAAGGTCTATAAATTCCCTCCTGGCTCGTATTCAGGTCATGTTCCTTACATGTGCCAACCTCACAGTTGCAGCACTGAGTTTAATGCCAAGTTCAGCAGTTGTGTTTTTATTCAGGAACACAGACAACGACTATTTTTATGAAGAAGCCTGTTATTCTGAACATTTGCCCAGGAAATGGGAGACCACACATTTCCTTCTTGCCTCATCTGAAGCTGTCAGCTCTGCATTTCTGACTTCCTAGGAGAGTGCAGTGCCCTGCTGTGAAGATGGCAGTGAGGTGATGCTGTCCATCCTACTGTGACACTGAACCATGGGGTAACAGAGCCAGAAAAGGAGGAGAAATCAAAATAGAGGTCTGACTCTGGTCTGCAAACTGAGTCTCTTTCTCAAAGCCAGAACTAAAGGCAACCAAAGGTCAACTAGCAAATGGACCCTTCAAGTTGGGAGCAGGGTCATGCTCAGATAAGCAAAACCAGTAAACTAGCCTGTGCCAACTTTAGCAGGAATTCATGTTGCTAGATTTTGTATGCCATGTTTTATGCTAGATCTCCTTATTTATATGGAATTTTGATAGCAAAATTTGACCTTGTTTTAAGGGGTTTGCAGATTCTGATGACAGTAGAGTTTATATGTTAAAGTTTGGACCTTGTGAAAGCAGCTGCCAGTCTTCAGTGTTAAAAGCTGTTATGTATTTCTGAAGCATCTGTCTCAGTGACTCTAGCAGCTAAAGCAGAATAAGTGGATGTGAAAAGCAAATAAACAGCAATACCCAGAGTACTATAAACACCAAATAACTGCTCATAAAAATTCTCCTAACATTGCCCCTCTGGTTACATTCATTTTCTCAATAGCCTTGTTAAAAACATGAGCCTTGTAGAGTTTCCTAAACACTGACAGCCAGAAAAACAAGTTTTCTTCTTCAGTTTTTTTGCAGTCGTCAGTTACAGATCAAGTCACATGGAAAGGAAAATAGATCTTTCAACAATTGTGTATGTGTGTGTAACTATGGGTATAGTGGAAATGTTCTATATAACTGAATTTAATTACAGTTATGAATAACTACAACTTTAAAGGGTAGTAGCATTCAGACAAACCATTTGCAATATTAAGTGGGAAAAAAATCCTATTCATTGGAATTTTGAAGCTCAGGCAATCCCATTTAAGGTTTCTGCTTTTGTTAGGAAGCAGTGCTAACGTAGTGACGTGGAGAAGAGCATACTGCCATACAGCCTAGCTTTCTTGAAAATATGTATCCTGTCTCAAATTAGCAGAGTTGTGAGACTGAGCTACTATCTCATCTCCTAGATGCTTTTGAAACCTTTGGAAACCCTGTCAAAAATTTTTTTTTTAGAGCACTGTGCTCTGGTTAATTCCATGGTTAAACTGTTTTTAGCTCCCAGGGGAGCACTTCAGCCAGTACCAAAGACTGAAACATTCTCACCAGCTGTGAAAGCCTGGCCCTTTAGAAATTAGCAACAAAAATCGGTGAACTTGGCACTTCACTTATATCCCCCAAAACAAACTCTGTATTGTGGTACATTGTGATAAATACATTTGGAGATAAAACACATGGCTTAGTCTTCCCAAGATTCACTCTTTTGTGAATATGGATGATTAAAGTATCTTGTGCATTTTATCTGGCACTAGAATTTGATAGCCTTGGAAAATTAAATCCAAAATTGTTCATACCAGTTTCAATGTGTAAAATGCTTTTGCTGTTTCTGTTGGGTATTTGCTTGAAGCTTAACAATTGTGTCAAGACTTTTGCTTCTAAGATAATATTATTCAGTCAATGATGATATAAATACAGTCAGCATTATATTGCCTAGATGGCCATAGGATGTGGAAAGCCAACAGACTTTCTTATCTCACAACAGTATTACATTTGTGCTTATTTAAAAAAAAGGTGGGGAAAAATAGAATCAGTTTATTATAGCTTCTTGTGAGTGATATTGCCACTGATGGCCAGCCACAGAGTTTTGTTCATTTCCTCATTCATCAGCCAGGGACAAGTGATGTTGATGTCATTTGATTAAGGCTTTTTGCATTGTGTTTGTTTTTGCATGTTTAAAAGTGCTATATACAATTCTATAGAATTGATTTTGAAGTAACATCTAGTATAATAAATTCCCAAGAGACCAAGTAGTTCCGGTAATATATAAAACAATTTAATCATATTTTCAGTTTACTTTTTATACGAAATGTACCTTAATAACACTTGGTTTATTTTTAATAGAGGGAATTTGAGCTTGTTTTCAGCAGGCTCTAGGCAGCTCTTGAAATTAGGTGTACATGTAACTTTGGCATTATTTTGCCTTTATCCCCTTGATGGCAGTTACTTTTTTGTCAAGGATGGGCAATGGGAGCAGAAAGCCTCCATCTCTGTTAGTGGTTAAAAAGTTGTCATTTTCAGTGAAGAGCTGTTGACTTGTACAGTGGATGTGTTCCCACGAAACCTACAATTTCCTAGATTTTCTAAAACAGTGCTTTCTTAGTGCTGGCTTAGCAACATTTTAGTTGGTCATGTCTTATTAATTTATATGCATTATTATAACAGAAAAGGAGGTGTGAAAAGCTAATAAAAATCTGACCTAAAGTATCCAGGTGAGAGGGAGTACAGGGAAGAGTCTTTATTAGAGATTTCAGTCTTGATTTTTTTTAACTGTGGTCACATTTTCTTTGTGTTGACAAAAACATGTAATAATTTCAGTTGAAGATTCAGTTCCATTCCCACTCCAAACCTTTTTATTTGCTTTAAAGTTTATCACACAAATTGTGGAGTCCAGGGCTTTGGGTGGTCAGGGGTGACATTTTCCATTGCAAAAGTGACTGAATGGTTTGTATTGAAACAAGTGGAAATTTTTCAAACACAAAAACCCCAAATACCTTCAACTTTTTTATATTAATGCATTGTTAAATTATTATTATTTACTCAACTTGGCCATTTTTCCAGGACAGAAGTCTTATTGAGTAGCACTTTCATGTTAGTTCTCATCTTTTCCCTTTTTCTCCAAACTCTGTTTTCATGTTTACCAGCAGAAATTAGGAATATTGCCAAATGTCAGGTAATGAAACACCTGGGCCAAGGGAGATGGTGTGATCAGTCCAGCCCACCCAGTGTGCTGCTGTGAGAAGGGCTGTTGGTTAAGCCGAAGGGCCCAGACGATTCGTGTAAGCGCTGTGAAGACACAGCTGCCCTGCATCTCTGTTTTTTTCTGGGAATGAAATAAGATTGTAGAGCTAGCATCCATTTCACTGGCCACTGACATTTTCAGTCCTTTGTGACATGGACATGGTGATTGACTGTTTGAGAAAGCAAGATCCATTGCCCAAGGTCCGAGTCAGGTTACTAGACCAAAGTTAATGGGTGTATAGGTTTCAGATTTGCTGTGCCCACTGCCTGGTGTCACCTTTCTCAGCCATGCCCTGGCCTTCCTTTGGCTGTAGGACCCCAAACTGCTAGTCAGAGTTGACTGGCTGCCTTTAAAGCTCATGCACCATGGTTCATTCCTAGTATGGGCGTGCCAGGAGCTCAGGAGATCACAGTGGTGTAGGTGCATTGGTTGATTGGGCCCTCAGGAGGTCATCTGGTCCACTGTCCTGCCTGATGCAGGTCTAGCTCCAACACAAGACCATGTCAGCATTGGTTTTGTCTAGCAAAAATTTGAAAACTTCCATGGATGGAGATTTCACCACCTCTCTGGGCATCCCCCTTCAGTGCAGTGCCACTCTCCTCATACCTTTTTTTTGCCTTAATGTCCAACCTGAACGTCCCAAAATGCAGTCTGTCTTTTTTGTCCTTTTTGTGTGCTCCAGCACTGCCAAGAACATTTTGGCTTGTTATCCTTGTAATTACCCCTCAAATAGCTGCTAACTGATCCTCCCTTGCCACCTCTGCCCCAGCCTCAGCAAGCTCAGTTTCTTCAGCCTCTTCCTCCTAAATCAGTGATGCAGTGGTGAAGAAGCAGAATACAGGCACTAGATGAACTGCTCACATCCATAAGTCATACTCTACTGGCACAATCAAATGATCCAGCATCTCTTTTGGGGTTTTTTTATGGACAAATACATAAAAAATAGCATTATGTGGACCATTCCATTTGAAAATTACAGCAGGCTGACAGCACAGTGGTTTTCAGAAATGTCTGCTACATTCACTTAACTGTGTTTTTGTTTTCCTCTTTATTTTTCTCCTTAGGCCCTCCTCCTCTTAGCATGTAGGCGTAAAAAAGCTGTAAAAGAACTCTGACTGAGTTAACTGAGAAGAAGCAGCTTTAGTTTTGTGAATTTAATTCTAAAATTACACAAGTGACAGGGATGGTTTTTGAAAATCACTGAATAAGTAATAGAAAAGAACCTGTGGATTAAGTTACAGAAAAGGTCAAGGAACAGTTTTATAACATGACAAATCATATAAGTCTTAACTTGGAATTAATTCTGGCATTTCCAAAATGCTGCAATGAATTTAGAGCTCTGAGGTTCGTTAGTACTCATTATTTCCTGTATGAAAATCTCTCTATCCCAATGCTGGCCATGAAACAGAGAGAAACCTTGAAAGAAGTTAGAATAACCCTCTCTGCACTCCACCAAAGAGAAGTAATTTATCCAGAAAATTTGAAACAAACCCAAATACTTAGCAGTACTACCACTGCGTCTTAATGCATCCAGTGTTTCACAGGCCGCTCTTATTTTGCTCTCGTGGTTTATAATAATACCATCAAGAAAGATGAGATCTACCTATATTTACACAACTCTGAAATTGATTCAATAAAAATCAGTCTTGGGAAGCTGAGAGCTGACCTCTTCCATGCCTTTCATTTGCTTTTTTTCTTTTGGCTGAATTGTGGAGAGAAAAATGCTCCTTTACTAAGATTTCCAAACAGACTTAAGTGGTGCAGATGCACGTCTGGTTTTTGAAAAAATACTTGTTTAAAATGTACTTAAAAAATTTTTCCTGAACCTCTCATTAGACTTGCAGTGCAATTTTCCTTTCCATTTATCAACAAAACGTTAATGCTAGATCTTTTGTAGCTGCCTGATACAAGGAGATACTAAATTAAGATCATCATACCATTTGACATGCTTCGGTATTAAGGAATTGGATGGAAGAGTTTGTCTTTGAATAATTAATACAATCAAATGGTGTTAGGAAGGAGAAGCAGCAAGCTAAACTACCTGACCTTTCTTCATTCATCAGCTTTAATTTAACTCTTTTTTACTGAAGTAATTTGCATTTCGTCTCTCATCTTGTAGACCAGCTTTACGCCTGAAATAAGTGGAAAAGAATTCATGTCAGTATGGTTTGGTCTTTTATGCTGTTACTACCAGATCTCATGCAATGTGAATTGATTTCCTGTCTGAGGTAGTTCAAGGAAAAAAAAAAAAAAAAAGATGAGCTCCTTCACTTTGAAAGGGCCAAGGTGTTCAGCTCTGGGCCCCTGTGTTCAGCTCTGGGCCCCTCAGTTCAGGAAGGACATTGAGGTGCTGGAGCGGGTCCAGAGAAGAGCAGCGAGGCTGGTGAAGGGACTTCAGCACAAGTCCTATGAGGAGAGGCTGAGGGAGCTGGGGTTGTTTAGTCTGGAGAAGAGAAGGCTTAGAGGTGACCTCATCACTCTCTTCAACTACCTGAAGGGAGGTTATAGCCAGGTGGGGGTTGGTCTCTTCTCCCAGGCAACCAACAATAGGACAAGGGGGCATGGGCTCAAGCTCCGCCAGGGGAGGTTTAGGTTAGATGTTAGGAAGAAATTCTTTACAGAGAGGGTAATCAGGCACTGGAACGGCCTGCCCAGAGAGGTGGTGGATTCACCATCCCTGGAGGTTTTTAAAAAGAGATTGGACGTGGCCCTTAGTGCCATGATATAGTAATTGGAGTTGGATCAGGGGTTGGACTTGATGATCTTGGAGGTCTTTTCCAACCCAATCTATTATATGATTCTATGATAAGTATGTAAACAGTGCCTTGATGATAAATATGCCAGAAGCAGAAGTTTGCAATATTACCTGACTGCAGATCTGACGTAGTTCTGAGAAAGAGTAGCAGTCATCTCTCAGGCATTTTCCATTGCCAACTAAAATTTTGATGACTCTGATATAGGAATTTAAGGTATTTATTGATGCTTCAGGATACAGAGGAACACCAAAGAGAAACTGGTGCACCAGCAGATTAGACTGTTTATGAGCTATAGCACCCAGAATCATCCTTTTAAGTAACTAGATTTCTTTTTGGACACAGTAAATCATACCCAGACACGTAAATTGGGGGTGAGACATTCTATTTATAGAGCAACCTGGAAGGGTAAAATGGAAGGGAAAATGGGAACATCTGCAAATCCGTGACAGTGCAGACTGAGTTACCCCAGGGTCCCACAGCAAAGCAGGCAACAGTCTTCTCACTCATGGTGAGAAGAGTTTCCAACTTCCCACGTGCCCTGTAAGTTCTGTTTACAGCTCAAATACCTGTGGCTCACCTAGGTAGAAGGGCTTTTTCACTTTTTTAACCTCAAGGATAGCCACAGGAATTGGCCAGTTTCTCCTTTTCTCTCTCAGTAAAGCAGCAGGCAGAGGTTTTACTTGCTCTGCCTGTGTGGGTGCAGCATCTTAAACCAGCACTTTTATAAAAACTTCTCTAAACATTTCTCAACAGGCAAGCTGCAGTCAGACAGACAACGAAAGCTACGTAAGAACTGACGATGAGGAGAGCTGCTTTCGGACAGACGATGAAGAAAACTCAGCTGCAAACTTCACAGAAGAATGGAACCAAGAGGTGCAGCATCTCTTGACAAAAAAATCACATAACTAAGTTCTGAGGACTGTAGCACAGTACTTTTGTTCTAAGAGTTGTAGTTTGTAGATGTGTGTTTTTGACAACAAGACTTTTGTTTAAAGCTAACTTATATTAGCCACATCTTCTGTAACATGGCTCATTACCGGTGAAGAAAACAGACTGACATACGTACTGCTGTTACAAAGGATGGCGGTATTAATAACTCACAGAAACCCTTTGCACATGATATTGAACCTGTTCAGTTTACAATGACAATACTGTTTATAGATAGAAATTTGATTTCTGAATACTTTGAGATTTGAGTAGATTGGTTTACTATACACTGTACATTTTTTCCACAGAAGAAATAAAAAGCTACAATTATGCATTTAACACTGAATGATTATACTCCTGAGTGTATATATCTAGTAGCCCAAAAAAAACAAAGTACCGAACTATATTTGCAATTTGTTTGCAAGTCTTTAAATTAAGGCTTGTACAAAATGTACTAAAATAATAATAGTAATAATAATAATATAATTAATAATAATTTAAAACTTCTCTAATTTAGGGCTAATGTGTAACTTAGGAATGTTTCTTTCAAAATAATCTAACAAATCAGCCATAGAAGTTAGTGTAAATATTTTTTTTCCAAATAGATATCATATACAAAAGGTGACATTCAAATGATATAGAATCTAGTTTTTAAATCAGCACAGATCTTCTTAAAACTGTGAACTATGTTTTGAAATACTCGTTGCTAAAGCTGTTTATAAACCACAGGTGCCATAAGATCCCTGAACTGACTGATGTTACGTATAATCCTCCATGGTATTGTTTCATTGATGTTTAGCTTTAGTAAGCATGTGTTCAACAAACCGGCTCTTTCCATCTCTCTGCCCCTCCTCCTCCCCCCCTTCCATTATGTTATTTTTGAGGCCTTCAGCTTTAAATGTACAGGCTTAAAAGTGCGCTTGCAACTGTTTTCTTTTGTTTCCAAATGTGTACTGCCTTAGCCAGCCACCAGATGTTCTGCATGCACTCTTGGAAATGTGTAGTGAGACTCTTTCGGAGCTGGATGGAGAAATAGCTATCAGTGAAAAGCACAAGGGAAGCGGTGGGTTTTTTCAGAAGGACAGGCATACAGTTACAGAACTGGAGTTTTGTCCAGTTTAGTATTTTTTGAGTATAAAGGCATTTCAGGAGAAAGGGGACTTAGCTGGCCATCTTGGATTAGGCAGTGAGACTGGTAGGTAAAAAACGTTTGCTCTGCTGTGACTACAAACCTACAGATTCTCCTGAGCAGGGATTGACACAAACTAGCTGGAATGTCCTCCCCACAGCATATTGCTTGGAAATAAAGATGACAGCAGCACGGCAGATAGCACTGCCGTGTGGAGAGAGCAGAGCCAGGCCAGGAGCAGCCAGGCCAGCAGCCGGGCAGTAACACCGCGCAGCGCTCCACGCTGGCCGCACAGCTCCCCTGAGAAGTGCAGCGCGTTGGCTCGGGATGTCCTCTGCACTTATGTAATGTTACTGCCCTAATACAATATTACAGCTTCCAGTATCTGGCTGACCTGAAGTGACACTGTCTGACAGCCCTGAAAACAGTAGCATTTCATACAGATATTTCGCACCAGCACAGTTTGCCTGCAGCGAGTGATGAGATACCCATCTAAAGCAGGTTAACATGGTTTGTCTGTCCTTGCTTTCATGGTGACGTGGATGTGCGCTTCTGTATTTAGGTGAGATTGGAATGTAGCTCGACCCAGTAAGTCCATTTGTTTGCATGCACTCTCTAGGCTCGTGGCTGTTTCCCTGGGCACCATGTGTTAGGGAATGAGTATCTGTATGAAAGAGCTGCTGCCATTTTTCACTTTCATATTGTATTATTGCATATGCAGATCTCATCGGCCTCTCCTGGCGTATCTGGGTTTGGTCTCAGACATCCAAATGCATACTAAGGCATCCAGATATCTTTATGTAAGCTTTTTGGTTTTGTAATCACTGGTCTTTGTTCCTGGGGTATGTGTCGTCCTGGCAAGGCAGGCATCGTATCCTCCCATGCCCCCTCCTCCAACCTCCTCTCAGGAATGGGTGAGCCTCCACTAGTGCCTAGCACTCCACATTTAAAGCTACTCCAGTAAAGCTGTAGATGTTGCTGTCAGCTCAGGACTCCAAGCAAGCATTTCCTGAACAGAGATGAAACAAGCTAGAACACAGCTACATGCAATGGCTGACTAATTCAACCCATGTTGTGTTTAACTGTGCCCAGAGTAATAGATCTTTCCCATCATCTTCATGTCTGCGTGCTCATTATCGCTGTGCTTAAAATAGATGCAACAGAATAAATCCATGCAAGGGCTTCCAGACGAGGAGTAAGGCAAAAAGTTGACAGATCAAGCGCCTTTCTCTCAGGCTGGTGTCAACCAGGTGATCCCCAGCAGAGCTCTGGGTCCTTTACGTCCTGAAGCTCTGAGATGAAGCACCTCGTACTTGGCTCTCCAAATATCTATTTTAAGCATTTTCCAACTGTTAAGCTGGCTTCGTTTTTGCCCAGCTGGTCTTTGTCTGCTTGTTGAATATTATTTTGGTTGTGGTTTGCGGTCATTAAAACACAGTTACAGAAGAGGTCCCTGGCACGGGCCTTTTCTTAATTACCAATGGCCGACCACAGCGGTCAAAACTCTGGGTGGTTTTACTGTCACTGGAGGGAAAACAGGGGTTTGGAATCAGGAGACAGGGATGTGAAGATGTATAGGGTCCTTGAATGTCCAAAGCGAAGGTGGAGAATGGGTTGTCTGTAAGTAGTAATGTTAACTAAACTGCATAAAAAGGTGTGTGGCCTTTGTTGTGATATAATATGTATTTTCTTATATGCATGAGCCAAATTGTTGCATCATAATTTATCATAAGTGTGTCCACCTTTACTTTCAGTCATCTTCTCCCATCCTTATTGGTTCTTGGCAATTACTGTAGATAGACTTTGTAAATATTGCAACCTCGGGTTGCTGTAATCACTTTGGTTCAATTCAACAGACGGAGCTGTGAACAACAAGCACTCCACTGTGTCCTGAAGACAAAAGGGCATTTTTACCTTTGAACCAAAAAAAAAAAAAAAAGTATGAAGAGTTACACCTTGAGGCTACTAACTGTAAGACATTTTTAAAACTACTGTACTTGACACCACTTGAGACAGAAACAGAGACACTAAAGATGTCACGATATTCATTGGTATTGTAACAGAACTGCTATTGTATGGGTTTTTGTATTGCTGTTAAGTATTGTTTTGTGTGTGTGTGTTGGAACCTACTGGGGACATGTTATATTTTGAAGTGATTAAACTATTTAATTGTGTGTCTATATTTTGGAATGGAATTATTTCTTCATTAAAAAGATTTTTAAAAGTAATCTGTGGAGCATCATATTGGTGGCTTATTTTGGTTTCGGAAGTCCTGTTCCATGGAGCCCAAGCACAGGGGTTTTTCATTAGGAAGGGAAAACGTTTCCCCATGGCACAGCAAGCAGTCTTTGCTTCACCCATGCTGTCTTCTGCACCTCTATGTGAGAGATCTCCTTCCACCGCTTTCCCCAGTGCTTTGAGCATGGCAGCAGGCAGCACCTGTATTCCAGTGGCTCAAGCAGTTTCTTTGGTCTTCCTGTTCCTCAGGAACCTAAACCAAAACCCTATCTGCAATACCATAATTTTTCCTAACCACTATGTTTCTCTCTCTCTGTGCCCTCAGAAGGCGTAAAGCCTTGAAAGAGGTACATTTTAATGGCTTTGCCATACACATTCATGTTATCTTTTATTACAGAAGGACATCATGTCTTCATTTTTCCAATTATATTTTAAGGTGTCTTTCCATATCAAGTGTTGGTAATTACAGCTAATTTTTTTTTTTAAATTACAACCTAGTTTTTTAGGTTTGATAACCTAAAAGAGCATGGACGTGCAAAGCAAGAGCTCTTACTTAAAGCAACAAGTTTCTGTCCTGATGAAGTACCTCCAAGCGTGGCAGAGGCAGCCGGGAGGCAATGCTCAGCTGTGCTTTTTGTGCCTGTGGAGCTGGTCGTCCCCCACAGGGCAGCTTGTGGAGGGTGTGCTGCTGCCCGTGGTGGCAGCCCTTCCCAGCAGACACGCTGCAGCCGGCCATCGCAGGGCACGTCCCTGGCAGCTCAGCACAGCCCAAACGTCCCTGGCTCTGCACACAACGTTGCTAACAGGCCAATTAATTGCACCTGAGTGGGGTCTGTTAGAAGGAAAGCAGTAGCAGCCCACCAAAAATAACCTCTATGTACTTACCACATATCCCAGTATCTTGGGAAATGCATAAAACCCAGTCTGCTGCCTCTTCCTTCAAAGTTAACTGCTGTGGTAACCTATAAATCACCAGGGTTTATTTGCCCTAATTCCGCTGTCTACATGGTGACATTCTTCAATAAAGACGATCATTTTACACTGTAAATTATTTGCCAGATCTGCTCAACTTTGCTTCCACATTCCCAGTCCAAATTCATATCTGCAGGACTGTAATATATGATGACATACCATCAGCTCATGAGGATAACTATTTATCCATGCATAATCCCAAATTGTTGTATTTTTTCCTAACCCACAATCAGCCTATGGCCTTTGGGGAACAAAGGAGCCAGTGAAAACTAATTTATAGGCAAAAGCTGTTTTCCTCTTTGTCTCATAGTTACTCCGGCTTCTTTCTGCTCCCCACAAGGAAAATTGACACATACAGGAAGAAGTTAATTATTTCATTTGCAAGAAGAAATTAAAAAAAAAAAATAATAATATAAAAATAATATTTTGAAAATAAAATAAAACATAAAATTATAAAATAGATAAAATAAGTAGTCTTTAGATCTGGGAAGTTGGCACCTCGGCTGCATCAGTGCTGCCCTAGGTGACTGAAAGCATCTGGAACTTTCTAAAATGGCCTGGGAGTTTCATGCAGCAGCACAGAGATCTATAGCCATTTTCCAGAGTTTGCTTGGGAGGCCTGTTGCTCACCAGTTGCATATTCCCTTGCAGGCAGCCCTTAGTTCCAGTGAAACCTTGTAAGAGAAGACCACAGGAATATGAAGCTGAGTCTGTTGCAGAAATAGGTTAAGTGGGGTGGGAAGAGAAATCTCCTCTATTGTTCCACGATGAAAAAATGCATTGAAGGATTTCACGTGCTTCGGGATTGTCCTGTCTAAAAACCCAGATAATCCCCAGGTGAAGGATTCTCCTTTGCTTTGTCCTGAGTGATTGCCACCAGGTGAGTTGTCTGTGGGTTAAGACAGCTATCCTGTGCTGCCAGCACAGCACCAATGTGCCTCTGGCTGCAGAAGGCAAAGCAGCAGAATTAGGCTGCACCTCTCACCAACTTCCTGTTCCCTCAGGGCAGGTACAAGCCAACGATGAACAAGTCCCAGACTGACCTAAGCCTTTCTGAGGGCCTGCAAGTCTGGAGCTTTCCAGAAAAGGCTGTTTTGGGTAAGCAGCCTCCCAGGAGAAGACTGGGACGTGCTCAGGGGAGCAGGGGAATCGTGCAGCCACATCATTCAGGCTTTGAGAGAAGATGGTTAATGAAGCTGGCAGATAATAAAGACTAAAAAGGTAGGCTATGTGAAAGACTAGTTGCTTTTCCGTGTCTTGGAAAGAAATTGAGGAGTCCAGGGTGCATTTTGGTTTTGATAGGCAACGTTGCAGAATGTAGTTTCTTATTTAATACAATGTAATTTACCACTAGCAAATTAATTTCCTCATGACTTAACATTTTTTACATAACACTCAGCAGTGGCCAGATGGCAGATGTGTTAGGCCTGCTGCTTGTTATGCTAATTGTCAGCTGTAAAGGCCTCCTGGTTAACATTTCTTCTCCTCTGCTTCTTACAGCCCAGCATTGTGTGCAG